GTACGTTACACCTTTTGTAGTTGTAACATACTTTGGATATTCTATTCCTTTTCTTCAGTCTCTTTTTCAGTTTTGGAAGTTTCTATTGACATATTCTCAAGCTTGGAGACTCTTTCCTCAGCTGTGTCCAGTCTACTAAGGGACCCATCAACAGCATTCTTCATGTCTGTTCTAGAATCATCACCTGACTTATGACAAAGGCACCAGCAATTTACTGGGGAAAGGACTGTCTTTCAACAAATAGGTCAATTAAATGTCCATATAGAAAAATATAAATCCTGATCTCCACCTTATACCTTATACACAAAAAACCCATAATGGGTTGTAGATCTCCGCATGAAAACTAAAACAATAAAATATCTAAAACCATGTATCCACTATAGCAGCCACTAGCCCTATGTGGCTATTTAAATTAAATAAAATTAAAAATTCAGCTCCTCAGTCATAGTAGCCACATTTCAAGTGTTCAATAGCCACATGAGGGTAGTGGCTACCATATTGGACAGTGCAGATATAAAACATTTCCACCATCACAAAAAAGTTCTATCATACAGTTGTATTCTAGAAGAAAATAAAAGAATTTCTTTGTGACCAAGACGTAGGCAAGGATTTCTTAGACAAAACACCAAATATACAAACCATAAAAGAAAAGATTAAGTTGGGCTTTACTAAATTAAGACCTTCTGTTTATCAAAAGATATCATTAAAGGAGTGAAAAGATAAGCCACAGACTGAAAGAAGCTATTTGCAAAATGTATATATGACAAAAGACTCATGTTGATCATATATAAAGAATTCTCACAAATCAATAAGAAAAAGACAGACACTCTACACCTCAAATGGGTAAAAGACCTAAATAGGCACTTCACAAAAGAAGATAACCAAATTGTCAATAAATATATAAAAGGTGCTCGGGGGAAATGAGAATTCAAACCATAACAAGATTCTAGTACACACCCACCAAAATGGCTAAAATTAAATTAACACACAAGATCAAACATAGGTGGATGTGAATTAAACTGGAGTGCTTACATACTGCTGGTAGGAGTGTAAGTTGGTACAATCATTTTCAAAAACTGCTTGGCAGCATCTAAAACTAAACATATGCTGATCATATGACCCAGAAATTCCACTTTTAGACGTATACCAAAGACATGTGTGCTGATGTCCAGCAAAAGATTTGTACAAGAATGTTCATAAAGCTGAAAATGATCTAACTATCCTCAACAGTAAAAGGGATAAATAAATAATAAACTATGGTATATTCATATAATGGAATATTGTCTAGCAAACAAACAAATATACAGACAAACCTATAGATAACATGGAAAAACATGAATTAATCTCACGGACAAAATTTTGGAGGGAGTACACATTGTATGGTCCTATTTATACAAAGTTTCAAAGAGCAGGGAAAATTAATCTATGATTATAGAAATTAGAGTAGTTATTACCCTTGAATATAACCACTGGGAGAGGGCATAGGGATCTTCTGAAATGTTATAAATGTTTCATATCTTGATCTTTGTGATATATTAAGCTATATACTTGAGAATTGTATACTTTACTATCTGTAGGTAATTTCAATTAAAAATATATAGACATATATGTGAATGTATATATCTACACATGTATCTGTGTGTGCATAAATATGTATGTATGTATATTATATAAGTATACACACACATACGATTTGCAGTAAGTTTTGTGCAGGAAACAAAATGAGCCAATAATAGAGAATAATGTGAGGAGCAATAGCTCCTTTAAAAGGGTGGCCAAAAAGACCTTCCCAAGGAGGTGGCTTTAATTTGAGACTTAAATCTTGAAGTATCTTCCAGAGCCTGGAATCAGGCAAAAGGCACCACAGGTACAAAGGCACCGAGGCAGCTAAGAGCCAGGAATGGCAGAGGCCCTGATGGGAGGCCAGTGGGGCTGGGGTGTGCCCCATAACACATGCAGTTGGAGTCACAGTTAGGGGTCAGGTCATGCTGGATTTTGAGGCCATGGTAAGGCGTTCAGACTTGTTTAAAGAGCCATGAAGAACAATTGAAGAGTTCTAAGCAGGGGAGAAACAGGATTTAATTTTTGTTTTTTAAAAATCATTCTGGCTTAAAGATTGGAAGAAGGCATGGGAAGAAGCAAGGTGATTGATTAGAAGGTAATTGCTATTGTTTCTAGGCCATAGAACAGCTATGTCCTACTACTGGGTAGGGGTATAATTTACATGGAATACAATGGGAATGAGGCTATTAGGAACTGAGCAAGGCTTGGCCTTGTCATCAATCACTGTTGGCAATTCAGAAGGAGAAAAGTGGACAGACGCCAATCATGTTTTGGAAGTAGATTTGATGGAACTTGCTGATTCTCTGAATATGGGAGGTGAGGGAGGCAGTCTTCTAAAATGGCTCCCAATAATCCTGGCCTCCTGGTATTCAAGCCTTTGTGTAATCCTCTCCCCTTGAGTGTGGACTAGATTTAATGACGTGCTTCTAACAAGTAGAATGTGGGAAAGTGAGAGGACGTCACTTCTGAAATTAGGTTATAAAAGACTGCGACTTCCATATTGCTGCATTTTCTCTCTGGCTCTTCTTATGTGCATATCCTGATAGACAGGGCAAGGAAGGGAGGGCTGCCTCTGGCCAAAAGACAGCAAGGAATAGAAATCCTCAGTCCAATGATCTGAAAGATACTGGGTCCTTCCAACGACTGTGTGAGTGAGTCTTGGAGTGGATCCTTCCCCAGCTGAGCCTTCAGATGAGGCCACAGCCCTGGGCCAACACTTCCATTGCAGTCTTGTGAGAGCCTGTGAAGCAGAGAACCCTGTTAAGATTTGCCAGATTCTTGACTCACAGAGACGACGAGATTGTATGTGTATTATCCTAAGCCACTAAATTTTGGGGGTAGCTTGTTATGCAACAATAAATAACTAATACAGGAGGTGATGGAAACAGAGAAACCAAGGATAATTCCCAGCTAATTTCTAGCTTGTGCAACTGAGTAGAGTGTCAAAATTCCAGGGGAAAAAAATAGAGTTCCAGGGGAAGCCAATTAAATAGGCATTTTGTGTATTAGACATCAAAGGGAGAAATATTGGTGAGCCATAGATACGGGATCAGGAATCCCTTTTCCATGACATTAGAGGTTGTACTTTTCTACCAGAGCAGAAAAATCCAAACCTTGGGTTTGGACTCGGGGGAAGGAAATAAATTAGGCCTTCCTTTTGCTTCAGCAGGGTTTAAGAAAACGAAGTCCCAAGTTCTACTTTGGTGTTTGAGACCAAGCCTCCAGCTAACAATCAAGTGTCACTTTGCCTTATTTTATCCTTGTTGTGTATGTCTCCTCGAGAAAGAGGGGAGATGACAAGACAGAGTTTGGGAATTCTTGCTTCACTGGGTCACACATTGACATAACAGTGGCCATTTTTAAACCTGAAAGGCCTAGACACCAGGCCTTAGCCTAGCCCAATGTTTCTCATTAGGGCCCCCACATGGGCAATTGCCCCAGGTCAATTCTTTGTCATGCTGGAGTGTCCTGAGCAATGTGGAAGTTTTAGCACAGGCCAGCAGAACCTGCCAGTCATTTGACAGACAACCCAAAACATCCTTCCCACAATTCCAGATGCTTCCTAGTGGGATGGTACCCTACCTTTGTTGAGAAGCAATGGGTTGTTCCTTCCTGCTCATCTGCAACATCTGTCACCCACACTTTGACCTTTCACCCTGCCATTTTCTAGGTACCTGCTGGCCAAGAGATTCTGGGTGTTAAAATATTCTCATTCCTAGAACTTTAAATACACTGAGTTCTCAAAGAATTAAAATATAACACTAATATGAGAATGACTCAGAATATGATTGAATTTTAGATGATTTGCAAGGTAACATGGAATCTTGTAGAAACTCAGAGACACTGTTACAAATTGTGTTCATTGTTCTCCAGCCATACAGAAAAGAGGGTTAATAGAATGCTGGCTGTCCCTTCATGGTGAATAATAAGAGGATGTGCCCTAATGCTTCAGGTTCCTGACTGGGGAGGCCATGGAAGAACATTTGGGAAATTCTGGAACCTTGATCCAGTGATTGCGGCTGTTAAAGTCTCAGAAGAATCCACTCCTACACTGGGTTGTGAAGTTATTACTCTACCTCAAATCTACGTCAGAAAGAAAGTAACATTTGCATTTATGTATATATGATAAACTACATTTTATTGCACTAATCACAGAGATTTTATTGGGCACCTATTGCGAGCCAGGCACTGTACTAGTCTCTTTGAATGCTTTATTTAATTTAATGCCCACAAAATGCCTCTGTGGAAAGCAGTATTATCATTCCCATTTTGCACGTTAGGAAATGAAGGCTCAAGAAAGTTGTGCAACTTGCTCAGGGTCACCATGCCAGTAAGCAGCAGAATCAGATTTCAAACTCAGACTCTAAGATTTGTTCTTTAATTTCTTTAGACTACACGGATCTGGAGTGATTTTATCCAACAGATATCCACCAAGTGCCGGGCTCCGCGCTGGGTAAAGAGGACAGAGATGTCCCCGCCTGATCGGATGCATGCATAGGTGCGTGAGTGGGTGGACAGACGGATAAAAATAAATGAGGGGGGAAAAGCATGGAATAATGAGGAAATCAGATGAAGAGCGGATGGAGTGGGAGGGTAAGTGAATGAGTGAGGGAATGAGGAAGTAAATGGGGGAACGGAGTGGACTGGGAGGGAGGGAATGAATGAATGAGGAAGGGAGAGGTTCTGAGGGTGCGCTACCTGAAGCCCAGGCGCCTGGCGGCTGGTGGGTGGGCGGACGAGCGGCTACTCCACACAGTACGGTAGGCGCGGGCTGCTCCTCCTCAAGCCCGGCTCGCGCCTCCTCCCCTCCCTCTTCCTCCTCCTCCGTCGCCCGCCCGCCGGCCGCCCCGAGCCCAGTCCCTGGCGGGCGGGCGACGGAGGAGGTGGCCGCCGCGCGCTGCTGCGCTCGCCCCGCCGCCGCCGCCCGGCGTGCCGCGATGCGCAGAGGGGCCGCTCCGCCCGGGGGCCGCCGCCGCCGCGCCGCACCATGAAGCTCCGCAGCAAGGCGGCGGCGCTGCTCCTGCTCGCGCTGGCCGCGCTGCTGCTCACGCTGCTGTCCCTGCGCGCCGGCCGCGCCGAGCCCCCCGCGCCGCCCGCGCGCCCCGCGGCCGCCCCGCAGCGCCGCCCCGCGCCGGCCCCCGAGCGCCTCCCGGGCGCGGGCGCCCTCCCCAGGGCCGGCCAGGGCGCTCGGAGGCGCCGGCCCCCGCGTCCGCGCCCCCGAGCCGGCCGCCGGGGCGCGGCGAGCATGGAGAAGTTGGCGAGGTGAGTCGTGGCAGCCCCAGAATCCCGTCTGGGGACCGGTGTCTCACTCCCTCCATCCGTGCCAAGTCCAAGGGAGGCTTTGGGCCAGAGGGGCAGACTCCAAGTTCACCCACGGGCTGCCCACTTCTGTTTCTTACCTCTCGAGACACGAAGAAGCACCTTCGTGACGTCCTGACGGCGCAGCGCTGATAATCGCGTACAGTTGTGGAAGAGAAGTGTCAGGGAAAGTGGTTTGTATGTTACGCTTTTTAACTGTCAAGGCAAGGCGTATTTTTGCAATCTTGCAAACGTGCGCCCCTTGTTTAATTTTTCAAAAGCCATCACGATTCAAGAATGCTTTATCTAATTCTCATGTTTCACTGGAGTATTTTTACCAAAAACTTAGATCTTATTGAGTTGAAGTTAGCTGTTTACCAAAGACAGGCTGCTTCTCATTGAACCTCGGATCGCCCTACGCTTAGAACAGAAGAGGCACTCGACCTAAGTTCACTAAAAATAAGTTTTCTGCTTGGAAGGAGTGATGCGTGGCACGGGAAAGACAGAATGGGGGTTTCCCTGTTCCCCGTTCCTCATTCTGTTTCAGACTCTACTCTGAGAGTCCTACAAGGAAAACATCTTAACCTTCGACATTATGTTTGGTTTTCTCTCCACAAAGCTGAACACGCCGCAGCTTTTCATCAGAGCGTCGTATCTTTGTCCTTGGGGTTGCAGGAACGCCTGCAGGTTAGGGATTTGCCTTCATTTCCTTTGTTGTGGAGAGTTTTTTTTAACAATCCCCCTTTCTTGTAGCGGCTCCGTTTCCTCTACCCTTTCGAAGCTGTCGGTGTTTCTAACTGCCGTTGCAACGTCTGTGTTTGCTGGGCTCCTTAATTACTTGAAATGAGTTGAAGAATTCTTTTTGACCATAATGGCTAAATCTGTTTGGGCGCTTTTACTGTAACTAAGAGAAAAGGCATGAAACCTCAAGAAGTAGCTGTGTCAGCTTTTGTTTCTCTTCTGCCTCATAATAAATGTACAGATGGGTACTGACAAGTTTTAGGGGGAAAACCCCCAATGATCTATAGAATCGGTTTTAAGTGTTTAGAACCATTTGCAATCCCTCATGAATGTGTACACTCTTTAAAATAAGCATATTTCTGTTAGAAACTTAACAGGATCTTCCCCTCTTATATACTGAGATTTTTTATAATGGATTATATTACAGTTCAACTACAAGTGTACTACGATTTGTAAGTTGACGGGACAACTTGTAAGGTGATAACTGACACCATGTAACATAGCTGACCTTTTGCCAGCCGCAGTGCTGACAGCAGTACGTAAAAATAGTCACTGTTAACACGTACTTTCTGTATATTAACTACATCATCCACTCCATACCCCTTGATAGTGGGTCTCAAAGTGTGGTCTTTGAACTGGCAGCACCAGCATCCCCTGGGGCTTTGTTAGAAATGCAGATTCTCAGGCCCCACCCCCGCCTCACTAAATCAGAAACCCTGGGGGTGAGGTCAGTAATCTGTTTTTAACAAGCCCTCCCATTGTTTCTAATACAAAGTGTGAGAGCCTGCTCTGTGAAGCAGGTACTAATGTTATCCCCATTTTGCAGATGGAGAAAGTGAGGCACAAGATGTAGCGATTTGTCCAAGGTTCATAGATAACACGTGGTAGTTAGGGATAAAGATCCAGGCAGTCTTGAGGGCCTAGGGTGAGCCCTTACCTTCTGTGCTGATGTCCTACCTGCATTGCACGTCTTGCCTGCAGTTCGTTATCTTCCTGAGAATCTTTCTAAAGAAACATCATAGGTTTTTGCGACTGTCTGATTCTTCAAGATGTTGGGAACGTGGGGACAGCATCTTCTTGTCTCTATCTAAACAAATTGGCTCTGACTAGGAAGAGATCGTGAACAGAATCCAAATGGATCTTTTAGGGAAGGGCTATTTCCTTGAGCAACAGTACGTCTTGAAACCATTTTTCTTTTGAACATATCTGTTCGATTATCATGGAAATCATGGCCAACACTATAGGAATAAAGAACAAATTTGCAAATTCAGGAAAAACAAAAAAGCCACAGGAAGTCTCGAGCTGGAATGCATAAACATGAAAATCTAGCGTCCTCTGGAGAAGTTGACATTTTCTGGGACTTATTAATGTTTCTTTTACTACCTGGACAGAATGGTGACGGAAGCTTCTGAAGCGGTAAGGGAGCAGGAGGAAAGATCTTTGCATGGACTCCTTTATTGCTCCCCTAATCCCGCCTGGGTTAAATTTTTGTGGTTTAGGAGGAATTTCATTTTAGGGAGGGAAAAGAAAGCCTCGTGTTTTCAGAAAAACGAGTGCTTTAATCTCTTTTACGTGGCCAGAATCCAGAGGAGATGAAGGCTCCGTGATCTCATTTCTCGGGCCTGGGGAGTAGTCAGCAGAAAGCATGGAGTTGGATGTGACACAGTCCACCACCTGCTGACCATCCGTGGACCGGGCTGCCTTGCCTCCCCCGGGGGTACTGCTGTAAGTGAAGTTCTGCCACGTCAGCGCAGGAAACATAGCGCTCTCCTTCCACATCTTGTTTTCATTTCAGAGAAGTTTCCAGGGCCTTGCCTAGTTAGCAGGCAGACCCTACAATTTTATAACTAGTCATTTGTATGCAATCTGTCCTGCGGTGGCCTGCCCCCTCTATAAATACAAAGCTGGGAGGTAAGGTCAGCTTTCAGGTCAAGGGTGGGATCTGAAAACGGACACCACACTGTAAGTAGGAGTTCCAGCGCACAAGAGAAATGAAATCTTCCTTCTATTTTGGTTTATTGGTGACTTATACCTGGCTGACTTCCAAAAAGAATTTGAGATGACTTACAGTAAAAAACACGTATACAATAAGGCCATTGAAATAGTTATAAAAAAATGAAAAGTCATAAAGAGGAGGGGGAAATAAGTACTGTTAGTCAAAAACTGAGGCCACTATTGTTATGAGGATTGAGTGTTAAATTTAGCTCTAAGCTTCCTGGCAGCCATGTCAAAAAGGGAACCATGATGGGCTGCCTCATTGTCACTGAATGATAAGAGGAAAAGTTTATCGAGATGATTTGTTTTTCATGGAACTGAATTCTAAAAGGAGAATTTTACTTGGGAATAAACTTTATCGAGATGATTTGTTTTTCATGGAACTGGATTCTAAAAGGAGAATTTTACTTGGGAATAAACTTTAGACTTTAAAAGACTGTCTTTCCAGCTTGCTTCTGAAAACTCCTCCTTGAGCCTACATATGGAAAAGGAAGTTTAATATAACTGCCAATCGGTGCAATATAAAAAAGAATTTGGCATCTGGAGTCCAGAGAATTGGGTTCTAGTCCGGAGCCATTTCACCTTAATTTCCTCATCTGTAAAATGAGCAAATCAATCCAAAAGCTTTCTAAGATCTCTTCCAGCTCTGAAATTTGATGATCCGGTGATGAGATCATCAAGTTTAGCTGCAAAATCCTAACAATAGCTGGTGCTGAGCCCTTTGTGCCGTCTCTTGCAAAATCACTGTTTCTCATTTATTGGCTCTAGCCTAGAACTCTTTCTCATTACTCAACCTCAACCCTTTACTGAACTTTATTCTTTTTCTCATGTGTTGGCCTGAATATTGCTGTTTTCTCTTAAAACATGGTTTCCAAGGGAGACTGAGGCCAGCTCTGGGTTCTGTGGGGCTTCTCTGCCATCGTGTTCCACGGTCGTTCAGCACATGTTTAGTGCACATATATTCCAGGCCAGGCACTTTCTCTGCAGTGCTGAATGGAGTTCCTGCCCTCCCAGAATTTCGGAGGGGGAAGTGGAGGCAGTACAGAAACATGTTACACTTGGCAGCCTCCCCAGGGACCCCAAGGAGAAGAAATGTGCCTACTTCTGCCTCAAGAGACACCCTTTCTTGCAGTTCCCTTTAGTCTCTGAGATAAGTCTTCTCAGAGGGTTCCAGCCTGGATAAAGTTCTCACTACAGAGGGATGATGTTATGTAGCAAAATGCCAAAGCTATGGCCCTCCTATAATTAGCTGGTGGCCTCGGAGCACATTAAAGGTCTCTAGGTCTTGGGTACCATCTATGATATTGTGTCCTACGAGTCTTGATTCTATTCACACTAATTTTTGTTGATTGGTCCGTGAGTCCCTCTTTTCCCCTCTGCACATACTTGATCAGTAAGCCCTATTGGTTCTATTTCAGAATATATGCCCACTCCCACCATTTCTGCCACTTCCATGGTTACCACTGAGCTCCTAAACACCGTGTTTTTGCCCCTGGACCACTGCAGTAGCCTACTCTCTGGTTTGCATGTTTCCACTCTAGCGCCCCCTACAGTCAGTTTTCTACACAGCTGCTGGAATAATCTTTATGTAGACTACATCTGGTCACTTTGCTGGGTAAAGCCCTACAGTGACAGACTTCCCATCACACTGAGAATAAAATTCAGTTTCTTAGTGTGGCCTTCAAGCCCTTGCCTGATCTCAACCCTGTTTAGCTCCCCGACCTCATCACCTACCACTCCCACTTCACTCACTCGGCTTCAGCCACACTGGCCTTCAAATACACTGAGCTCATCCCTACCTCGGCACTTTTCACTTGTTCCCTGTGCTGGAATGTTCTTTGCTCACATCCTTGCATGGCTAGCTCCCTCACTTCTTTCTGGTCTATGCTTATAGGTTTTCTCCTCAGAGGGGTCTTCCCAGCTGCCCTAGAAAAACAGAACCCTCCTCGTCATTCTCTACCCTCTTATCCTGTTTATTTATTTTAATAGCACTCATCATTATATGAACATTGTATTTTGTTTGCTTCTCCTCCCTCATGTACACTTCATGTCCTAATCATTGTATTGCTGGCACCTGGAACAGGATGATCTCATAGTAGGTATTCAATAAATATTTGTCACATGAACTAATGAGTGAATGCAGCACCCACCTCGTGCCAGCACTATGCTAAGACTTATATTATTAAATTCCATATAACTTAATAGTATTCAAAACAATCCTCATACCC